GGAAACGATATGCATTACTATTATTGGCGTATCCAATAAATATGCAATCAGCCGTTTTGGGACCAATCTTTATTTGTTTAGGCTTAGGAACCTCAACTTTTGTCAAACACCGACACACTTTTAAATGCTGGTAGGAAGGAGGATGACATTTCCATAACTCATATAGAGTCTCTTCCATTTTTTTGAGAGGTACAGGAAAGTGTAACTTTAAACTAAGTTACCCCTACAATTTCTAAACTAGGGCTATATATTCAAGCAGTAGCATTGCACTCACATGACTTGAACTTTTCATATAAGTTCTCAAAAATTAATGTTAACCCCTACATTTTTAGGTTATTCTTGAACTTAGAGTTCATCAGCTCTTTCATAATTAATCCATTTATTACTTAAACAATATCCATATCAAGTGTTTCGTGAAAGTCTAAGTACTTTCAAAATAGTGATCGTTGATTCACACAAATGAAAATCATTTTCCATTTGAAATTATACTTCAATCAATCATATTAATTTGATTAACCAAATTAAGTCAAGGTCATCATATAGATCAACAACGCTTTCAAAGCATACACCAATTTAATTGGTTCCTCAAATGAAGTTAAATTCAACAATGAAGAAGATTAAGCATCTTCAGACGTGCAAATTTCACATATGTGACATTTCACAAATAATATTATTCGTGTCAAATAATAAGGCATATACCCACCTTATTCTTTATATTCACATTTGAAAGAATAAAATCAACTATAGTTGACAAGTTTTACTTTTAAAGTCACAACCTTACAAAAGGACATACCTCTTGAAATTAATTCTAAAATATTTCATAATATTCTTCACAATTTTTGTATAACATAGTTTTTATCTTTTACAAATGAATGTCATTTTACAATCATTATTTTTAAGGATATTCGGCACCACTGCCAACTATAGACATCATTTGTGCTCTATAAAATATTTTCATATCCCAATAATTGGGCAAGCAATTTTCACTTTAAAATAATTAGGACAAAATCATATTTTGTCATACTCTTATGCAACAATAATTTTGCATAGGTCATTTTATTTAATTTCATAGAATTAATTGAGGCTACCATGGGCATATACCGGATTTTCAAACCAAAATTCATGGACATATACCGAATTTACAACTTCATACCGTATATGTCACTTATCGGATTGACGCGTACCGTATATGCAACTTACCGTATATGCGACCTACTGTATATGCAGCTTATCGTATATGCCGCTTACCGTATATCTGACCTAATGTATTTGCATCTTACCATATTTGTTACTTATCATATTTGTAGCCTACAGTATTTGCTACTTACCGTATTTGTAGCTCACTGTATATGCATCTATCGGATTTGTATATACTAACCAAAAGTCTATCTGAAATCCAAATTCTTCTATGTATTCACCAAACAAATTCATTATTTAAAATTTACGTTTGTACAAATAACATTATAATATCACATTCCATATTCACTTCTGTATTTTATACAAATGAATTCATTGCACATAATTTTCAGTAACTTACCAAAATTCCATAACAATGAAAAGTCACATGCATTTGTCCACTATTTTCATTTTCTTTTGCATTTAAAATTGAAGAGTCGCATACATTTACGTTACTGGTAGCCATGCAATGTGATAATAATTGCAATAAATTCCTTTCACTCATATTCTAAATAAATGGAGGGCAGTTACAACACGAATAAATTCACAACTTTGTATTAAAATAATGGACACGTAATTCATATATTCCCACTTTCATGGTCTACAAACAATGATAACTACCTTTAAAAGTGAAAAGACACAATCTTTCACTTACTGTAATACAAATTTTGGTCATTCAACGACGATACCATTATCTTCCAATTATTAAGTTATTATACAAATCCATATAGAACTTGTCTGTAGTTTTTCCAAAAGTAGCACAGACAATCATCCAACAGCAAACCAAAGGAAATAAATGTACTGCCAAGAAAGATAATCTATCGTTTCAGAAATAAACTGCCTTAAAAATTTGCATGTTTATGCCTTTATTCATGTAGAGACTTGTACAGATATAGTTGGTAAATGGGCGGACAAAACATAGCACTCAATTTCCTAAATAGTCATCAGCCAAAGCCGTCCATTATCTACTAATTATTAAATGATTTATGCAAACAGATTTTTTTCCAAAACTCAAAAGGCGTCGGTTCATGTTTAGTATATAACTGTCATTAATCTTTTAATAAAGACAAACCCTTTGGATTTAAAGATGCTAGCATTTTTGTAAATAAAATCGGCAAATGATTTTCTAATGTTTACAGTTGCAGCAAATGAAATAATTTGGAACAAGCATTATAGCCCCTGTTTGCGCCGTATTATTTACTCATTAAAATGAAAAATATAACCGTTATCTATTATATCAAGCCACTATATTTGAAAATCTATCTCTTGTGTGGAGCCCGTAACAGCTATATTTTTCATTCTCATTCTTTTATCAATGTGGCTCAAACATATCAATGTTGCTCAAACGGGGCCATAATATATTCCATCAACATGAATGCACAAAACCCAATTTGAACAATAAAGTAAACATGCTTCCTCAATTGGCAATACGTTTGGCAGATTTTTCATAGAATATATGATGCACAACAAGCACCAAAATTCATCTTAAGATTGTTGGAGAAATTACACCGATATTGTGCATGTTATATTCACAAAAATCATTTATTTGCGTGAAATCGAAACGTAATTTCGACTTATCGGAATGGATTTGAGATGATAAATTAATAATTTATCGAGTCTGAACGTATATGGATTCATTCATTTTCTACTTTTAAATGAAAGTAGATCAAACCTTGAAAAATAAACATGTAAACAAGGTTAATAAATTTCTGAAATCAAAGTGTAATCAAAGGAATCAGAAAATGAAGCAAGAAAATGCAAATGATGGATTTTTGGTCGAGACAAGTATTGGACACTTTGTCCTTAAAATGAATTTGCCCAGCATCGGTGGTAATGGTTCTTTGGCAATTATCTCTCTAAATACAATAACCACGTCAAGCCATAGAAACACTCCAAATAGCTTAGAACAACGAACTTGAACGAAGTTTCCTCTCTACCATAACCATAACTTTAATCCAAATGTTTTATGCAAAACCAAAGTGTAACATGAAATGAAATGATGAATTGAATTTCATTTTTTGTTGATAAATTCCAAACACATGGGGTTTATATATAGTAGTTGGAAAGGTATGCCAAAGGACACAACTATACCAAGAGACACATATCTTAAAATTTATTTTTACATATTAAGAGACACAATTATTGAAAATTAATCATACCCATACCAAGAGTCACGATCCTTCATATAAAAAGACACATCTATATATTTCTAAAATATTTCATAATATTCTATACAATTTTTCAACAATTTCAAGTATTAGGCGGCTTACATTTGACTTAATTTCTCATTCACCAAATTAAGAATTCCACTTA